CAAGTCGAGCAAGGGAATCTTTAAGTGCAGTGAGAACACTTTGACGACCAAGCCGCCAGGGCAATACGGCACACTTGGTAGCAACATCAATCTCTGCTCCTGGATCTCTCCGTTTTCTTTCCTTGATAAACCTTATATAACAAACAATGAGAAGCATTGATTTGAAAATTTCCTTAGAGGGTGAGCCTCAGAGAGTAATAGTAAGGTTGCTGTCATGTGACCTAGAGGTCAGGGGTTCAAATCCGTAAAATAGCCTCTCTGCTTGTAGGGGCAAGGCTGAGTAAAAATATCCCTCTTTAACTCAAATTGTATGAAAAAGGCACAACTGAAATCTTAGCACATATACCTCCAAGAAAGAACCTCTGAATTTACTGCTCCTAGCATGAGCTGCAGAGGGAACAAAATCTTACTACTCTCACCAACATTGACACTTGTTGAAATCTGGGGGGAAAGAAGATGATAAATGCTCACATTAGAACCGTAATTTCAGCAGTATCAAAGAAGGTTAGACCTCCATCAACACTAGCATTGAAAGCATCTCTGGCAGCTTTATCATCCTTATCTACAGGAACCACAAATACTGATGTCAAAATTTGATTCTTATGGGAAATCTAAAATTATTTCAACCAAAGGAGGATCAAAGCGACTAGAGTTTGCCAATCCCCATCTGAATAAAAATATAAAACAGTGAGGTTCTAATATTTATCCATCCAGTAAAAAGGGAAAAATGACATAATGTGTAATGTACCATGGAGCATGCATACCAAGTAGTAAAACAAGTTTAGAAGTCGTGCTTACTGAGACTGTGGCAGGTTGAGATGCAGCTTGTTTCAGGCACCAAAGCCATCTATCTTGTCTCCTATAGAGGTCTCATATTTAACCTTGTCCCGTTTTTTCTTGTTTTTATATTCCATTTTGACCTAACCAGCTTTTTATGCCTCAATATAAGACTGAATACTGGCGTGTCGTAATGAATTCACTTGATTTAGAAGGTACTCCAATTATGATGGATTTCTATACGAAATCAGTTATTTGATTTTATAATACTTCTTCGATCCTTAATATAAGGCCTAATTAACTAATTTAAATAGATTAATTGATTAAAGATGTCAACTAAATTGGTTAATATAATATGTTTTTTCTAAAACACCCTAAGGATCTTCCTTAATTCTCTCTCTCCCTCTTCTACTTATTATTGCTGGGAGAACACCAATAGGGTTAATTTGAAAAAAATTTTTGATACACATGTAAAATAGATCTTATATATAAGATCTATAATAATTCCCTAATTAGCTTTTATATTAAGGAATGGAGGAGCATTCTTATTTGATTAGTTGGGGTTAGTTGAAGGAGTTAGACACTCACAACATGACGAATTAAGGACAGAATCCATGTTAGGAGAAACACTCATATTTAGTGTTCGGCAGTTGTTCAAATAAAATTGTTTCTAATAAAAAGATAACCAAACATTTTTTTTAAAAAAAAAAACTTAGTAGCTAACTCCTAAGCTTAAAAACTATTCTAACATGACCAAACAAGAGAAATCAACCATTCAAAAACTGCTTGGCCATGTTTGACATAACACTTTTAAAAGTAATTGGATACTCTATTTCCTCAACTTTCCGTGTAAGTGTCCAGAGTTTCTTTTTAAAAAAAAAAAAAAATACAAGCGTAAGCGTCCAGAGTTGTTTGTGCTCCTGCACCAGGCTCAATCTCGACTATATCTAATCCAACATTATGAGCCAAGTCTAACGTTTGGGCCTTGGGCTTCATTCAAGCCCATTCTATTTAGGCACATAACACACGCCCAAGCAATTTTGAACCATCAGTACTGGGCTCTTGATGATGGGTAAGAAAGAGAGTTCCATGTATACCGGGTCAGATCAAAACCCGAAGGGCCCATTTTCTCATACAGATTGGGTTTGAAAAAAGGCTAAATGAAAATGTGTGTTTTAAATCTTGGCCATTAAACCCACGGATTAAATGAGCCAACCCATATAGGTTACAAGTTGGCCCGTTTAACCTAGATCATTTTTTGCCTTTAAATTCGTTTTTTTTTTCGGGTAAGGAAAATTCATTTTATTTGGTTAGAAATGAAGATTTAACTTAATGACTAATAAGTGCTACTAATTTAATATGTCTTAGAAGAAGGTTTAGATTAAATCATGTTGATTATGTGAAATATGTTATTAAAATGAGAATTACATGGCCTAGGGATTAGATTTAATATTTTTTAAAATGTTTTTTGGAAAAAGTGTGGGTTGGCGGGTGGGTTAACCCGAATAACACACCAATTCACACCCAATCCACCCGGTTTGGGTTGAGTTGGTAAAATATCAAATTACCAATCCATATGAAAATGGTGATTAGTGCGTAGCATCCTATCGTTCACCCGATTTTTAATTATTTTTTAATCATATCCTTATAGTTTTATCTGATTTCAATCAAATTTATGTGGTTGTTTTTTATCAGGTCCTAATAATTTCACTTGACAAGATCTGATTAAACTACAAAAACCTAACTAAAAATCAAATAAAACTATAGAGATCTGATAATTAATTTTTAAACGTAGCACGACCGGCATGAATTCACTGTTTTCACTCATTACTTCACTATGGAATATGGATATGAAGGGGACACAAGTCAGTCATTCATAAAAGGGAAGTAGGAATGTACCAGTCCATTTGAAATTGTTCCAGAAAGTAATATCACCCCAGGACCAAGCTCCAATTCCCAGCTTTGTCACCTTCAAGTCAGAACCACCTAACTTGATCTTCTTCTCTTCCTCTGTTTTGAGAGTAGCAGAGCCCTTAGAAGCAACTGATTTTACTCTCTGAACTCTCGAGTGACCCAGAAAACTACCAAACCACGCACTGCTGAGATGAAGGGCCATGAATAGGAAAATGCAATTCAAATTCAACAAAAAGGGGATCTGAAGTATGAGTATGAAAGAGGAAAACCCAAATTAAACCAAAGAACAAATTCTGAGAACAACTGAGACACGATTGCTAAGCAGAGTCCTGAGAGTTTTGAAGGAAACGAAGTTTTTCTTCCCAGAAATTTGTGCCAGCACAATAATTGAGCCGAGTAGGACGTTACGTACTCGCATTTAATTTTGTGGTCACAGGCCAGTACAATAATTGCTTCCAATGGTTTTCCTTCCATTCATTTTATCGATTTTAATGATTTCATTAAATTTTTTTATAATCATTTAATTTTTCAAGGTCATTTTTTATGGGAAATAAATCCAATTTCATTAAATAAGTAGACAGATTTTACTTAGAAATTTGAATACTCAAAAGCCAGAGCTTAAGATCTTCCTGCGCTTAAGATTTTCCTGCGCAATGCTCACTTGCTTATGGCTTAAGATTCATCTAGTATTCTAAATTATTTTTTCAGGACTAACACTCTAAAATATTTTGTAGTTTAGTTAATATCCTAAAATAATTTTCTAAGTACGTCCAGTATCGTAAAGTATTCCATGATTCAATACTCTAAAATATTTTTCACATACGACAAGTACCCTAATTTAAAATTTAGGATAAGACATTTAAAATGTTAAATGTACTTGTAAAAATTCTTCAGGTATTGAATAAAACACAATGCACAATATTAGGGACGCACCTTAACCTATTGCTCATTGTAGTTATAAAAGTAGCACATTTATGTAATTTGCATATTTTTATTTTGCTTATACAATTATCTTTAAGTTATAAGATATTAATTTTCACATGTCTAAAAATTCCTCGTATGAGAGAAACGGTAATGGATATGGGACTCTATACAGTCTATGCACATGAAGATCTGAGGAAATCTGAATTATGCCATGAGAAAACACACGAAGTTCATTCATGACAGATAATTAGGAGACTAAATTTCTTTCTCGCAACTGCCTTCACAAACAATGAAGCCTCCCTTCCAAGTCAAAGACTAAGAAACAGAAGCAGAAACAGCATCCAGCACAATATATTGAAACAGAATATTAAATACAACTTATTCAAGTTAAAACCAGAAAAGCATTACTAGCAATCTAATCATGCTTCTTTCCCTTGAGCTTTCCCTTGGAGATCCTGCTGAGAAGACCGGCATCGAGGTTCCGGAATCGGTTCTGCATTTCATCAAGAGCTTTGTACACAAATTTGTCGACTTCATCCTCATGCCTTTCATACAGAACAGGGAGTGTATGTGCAGCCACAAAACCTTTCCACACAAAATGAAGTATCTCATAAATAACTGAATTTGAATGGAACGATAACAACTTCATTGTTGAATTTTCTACAAATTCAATCCTTGTGAATTTTCCAGAACAGGTCATGCCACATGAAATGATACTAAGCACTTATTTGACATAAGCATTAGAAAAGCCAAGCATAGAAGATTAAGGTTAGAAAAGTCAAGGTCTATACAAGTTCCACATTAAGATCTCATAATTTAAGATTGGATTGTCAAATTAAGATCTTATTTGTATGATCCTTGAGAAAGTTTTTATCTATGTTATGAGTCCTTAGATGTCATTTTCTCTACATACTAAGCATGGCAAGAGAAAGAAGGTCACCTACCAATATAAATGACAGTGAGGAAATTGCACCAGCCTCCAATCACAGCCGCGGCCATCAAGCTTCCAACAACCTGAGAACACTTTAGGTGTTAGTCACAAATTCCTTGGAAAAGGAGAAAATTAGATAAGGGGGGAAGGAGGAGGAGGAGGAGGAAGCTACATTTGAGGGTGTAGTAGAAATATGCATCATTGTGGTATTCAACTCATCATCCGGAGTGAAACTACGCTAGTTTCTTTGCAGTTTGGATAAATTACAATAACTTCTTTTTATAGGCAGAGATTAGTATCGTGCCAGGAATTTGAAGACCAAACAAGAAGCTACCACAAATAAAAATAATATGTCAAAATTGAAAGATGAAGTTCTAAAACAAAGTGAATAGAGTGAAAAGAAAATGCAGAAAGGAAAAAATAGTTTCAGAAAGTGAACAATGGTTTAACCTAGAAAGGTATGAATTTGTATCAAAATGACAATAATAAAGTACAAAAGAGGCATAGAAAAGCAACATACAACAAGAAATTGCTTCAAGTTTCCTGAACAAGAAACATCTTGAAGAAACCTCAAACCTCGGTTAACCTCAGCACCAGCTGTTGTTGCAATGTTGACAAAGAAATCTTCTGGGAGAACAAGGCGGGGTACTTTAGATGGCACACTGTTACCAGGAAGAAAAAGTTCACTTGAAGCAGTATATTACATCAGAATAAACTCATGCAAAAGCAGAGATGAGATGTTCTCTGATAAAAACCTGCTAGAATAGCCTGAAGCATTTGACCAAATAAACTGCACAACCATAACAAGAACCAGAGCGAGGCATGAAAGAGTCAGGAGATGATAATTAAGCCATTCAAAAAGCACCCATACAGATGTTGCACTAGTTAAAACACTAGTAGAAATCTTCTTGTCCCTCCATAACAAGACATCAGCAGCTATGACATCAAAGGATAAAAAAAGTAAACAAGGATAATTATAATCATAATAACAAGAATGAGACAGGTTTCCGCTTCATACTTTTTCCACCCCCTAAAAGATGGTGCACAGGCCTCTGACGTCCAAACAGTCTCCTAAACTGAGAGTTCACAGAGTATGAACTCTCTCCATCAAAGAATGAGACAGGTTTCCGCCTCTCAGTGAATGTGTCCATGAGGTTGTTGAGAAGGTTCTCAGGTGAGATTTTGTCAGACATATTTCCAGAACTTCCCTAAAGTGTGAACCAAAAAACAAAAACCAAAAAAAAAAAAAAAAAAAGGAAGGAAAGATTGTACATTATAATTATAATATCCGCTATAGCAGTATCATTCAGAAAGTCAACAGCAACAGCATGCTCACGGTGAGAGTGAGAACTAGATTGTTTTCTAATGCATGACAAATGAGAAAAGTGCTGGACATCAGAGAACACCACAATGTCAAATAATATTACACAATTCTTTTGAAAATAACTTATTTCCACACATCCTCTATTTTCTTCAAGAAGCAAGCTTCATGACTTTGCTTACTGAAGCTTTAATTCTTCTGTCAGCATACAGCTCTTCAAAGCCAATGACTTCTTTCATCTAGAAAAGTTAACCTCTGTTCAAGTCCTACCAATAAGAAAATCAAGCTTCTTATAAATTTTATCAAGATTAAATTTTGATTGAACCTTAAGCTCTTCATGTAATTGTGCAAAGCTCTCACGGAGACCAACACAACTCAGTGAAGTGTTATGGCCCAATCTGAGCCACGTTCTCTAGTTTTGCGCCAAAATGAGCCAATAGACCTTTAACACCTGGTGTAAGTGTAGCATGAACCATTCTTCCAGATCTGATTGACCATCACAGTAAATAGGGATTGGATGATATGCTAATAAAAGTTGGTAACAATCATATAAAACGTAAATAGAGTGAAACAGGCAGAAATCTGCTGTAGCTTGGGACTTCAATCCCCCAAGCTGTCCTACAAAGAAAACATAGTCGCCCATTTTATTCAATGTTGAATGTAGTGTTTTGGGCAGACAAGCGAGGAAAGCAGCTTACAACTCATCGTAAAAGTTAATTGCTGCAGAGTATTTCCACACCCAACCAAAGGAGGTCATTCATACCCATAGCTTTGATGTCCAAGTAAAACGATGCATCTGCCCCTCTCCCCAGGAATCTGGTTCTTCTGAACTCAAAATCCGTTGGGGGACAGAGAAAAAGAGAGCGAGTGGGGGCGAGAGAGAAATGGAGTGTACGTATGAGGTCCACCTTCTCAGTTGCCATCCACTTTCTCTTCTCTTCTACTTCCTTCATGCTTCAGATGCACTATGCAAACTTCCACGTTCAAAAGATTCAAATCACTCTTCACGGTCACTTGATCAAGTTAGCCCATTAGTGACCAATAATAGAGTGCTTGCAAATACATGGGAAAGAACCTACCCTACTCCTGAATTCTTCACTACATCCATGAAGTTAAAGAAACTTTCCATCTGCAGGCTATATCATGCCTTGAATTCTGCATATCAATTATCAACGTGGTAGGAATTTCAACATCATTCTTATAGCAGCCTGCCCATGAAAGAGAATTTCCCTAATTTATAACAGGTCAACAGTAAGCAGTGCACATTGCTTTTCCTTGGTGGCAAATGGGAAGGACAAAAGGTAAGCCTCAACGATGGAAAAAACATTTTGGAAGATCAAATAATTCATGTCCCGATTTCAATCATATTTTAGAGGAGCAGTACCAAATAGTGAAAAGAAAATTCGTTTTGAACTTGGCCCCATTGAAAAGTTGATAACCCTGGTCCACGGGTGCTGTTGGTCCTGGTGGGGCAAGAGGAAGAAAGGTAGTGGGAACACAAGATTTCTTAATCGCCTCATAAGCTGAAAAAGCGCATATCTAAAATAAACACAGAGATAAATCTTCGTCCTAATAGCACAGTAAACCGTAGAGCTTCCAAAATTTAAACCCCCATCATCTCAGTCATCTACAACTGCGTCATATTCAACGAATTTTCATCCTAATACATTCATCTTCCAAATTTTCGTCCCAATACCAAGAGAGAGATCAGTTTTCATCTCAATCATCCACGACTATATTCATTTTCATACCAAAAAAAATCGTCAACGATTTCATCATAAGCCACAAGAGATTAATTATACAGTAAACATCAATCAGAGATTAAAGGATTAACTAGGCATGCAAAAGATTGACAAGAAATGAATCAATCAGTGCACTAACCGGAGTGCGCAGAGGGAGAATCGACGGAGATTGGAGCAAAAGGAAAAAGTAGGGAGAAAAAGTTAGTGGATGATGAAGTTATTAAAATGGCATTGGAAGAATTTCTGGGTGTTTGAAAACTGCATGCGGAATCTCTTGCACGTTTCACCTCAAAGTGGAAACGGTCATCGTTGACCCAATACCAGTAATCCACCAACCCGGATTCTCAAGTCCCAACTTCGAAGTCATCAAATGTATCTTTTTTTAATTCTTCTTTTTTTTTTTCATCCTTTTCCGTTTTGGAGTTTGCTTAATGGTTTCATTAGCGTTTTTGAACTTTTGATTGATTCTGTCATAGTGAAAAGTTTAAGAGCTGATCAGACAAGATGATAAATTTTCTTATTTTCCACGTGTTCTCTTTTTTAAAAAAAAATAAAAAATAAAAGCTAAGTAAACAATCAATTAACGTAATGTGACCTATATTTACATAGGCTTTTATTTTAAAAAAAAAAAATCAGTTTGACGTAGATAACATGTTGAAAATGTTTCATTTTCACAAAGTTTAAAGATGGAGAAAAGTTAAATGTCATAAAAGAAAAAAAAATGCATCAATTTAAAGTAGCTGTTAAGTAATAGTTTGGTTACAACCAAAAGGTTGGTTTGGACTCAATTACAAGTATTTATAAACACGTTTATGTAAATCAAGATAAAACTTCTCTTATATATTTATTTCATGATATATAAGTTATTACAAATGAGCCTTAGGATTATCTCAAACATTAATGTTTTTTATTAACCAACTCTTTTGTCGCAATTGATTTTTAAGTTTTTAATCTTATCCAAACATGCATTTATGTTTACTTCTTAGTGAGTAAGTAAATGATCGCTGCCAATATTTATATTCCTCTGGTCTTAATTTTTTTTAATTTTGGTAATTTCTTTGATAACCGTTGACAAATGAAGAGTTATACTTTGAACAGAATAATATTTGAAGCACGTCGATTATAAATTGTCCTTCTTATTAGTTTATTTCAAAATGAACAGGTTCGCAATTCTCATATCTCATCCAAAAAACTCAGGTACATTTTCAATTGTATCCAAAAATAAATAATAATAATAATCAAGTGGATTTGTTAGATAAAATATGGCCTATATATAAGATTTTGGATTCGGATAATCTTCAATACACCTTATTTAATTTATACCAATCCATGGAAAAGAAAACTCCCATTTAATATAGCTTTTATGATAAATATGTAAATTTTAATATACTGCCTCCGGTCCTAATTATATAATTAGAACCGGAGGTAGCATATAAAAATGTATGATTTTTTAAAAGCAAGTAATTAATAATAATGCAATTGAAATATACACTTGTTTCTTTACCAGAATATACACTTGTTATGCTTTTATTAGAAAACTTGTCTCATTTTGATGAAAAACTTTAGTTTTAGATGATATTTAAGCTCTTCTTTCCAACATATAATTCTAATCCATACATGGAGAAAACGATATTTATTGAAATGATTATAACAATTATACTTATTTAAAAAATTAAATATTAAAATATAAATTTGAAAATACTAAACTACCTGAAATGATTACAAAAATTATACTTATTTAAAAGACTACATATTAAAATATAAATTTGAAAATATTAAACTATCTGTATGATATAAAAATAAGGACAATTTTAACAATATGACCACAAAATTATATTCTTCCAACATGGATATTAATTTTGTAAAGTTTTTATCTCACTAATATATCTAGAATTATCCTGTTTAACTCTAAATTTTATCATCTATAACCTACAAGAAATTTCCAACAAGGGAAAAAAAAGGTGTGAAAGCTCTCAACTTTTTTTTTTGTTTGAGTAAAAAAGCTCTCAACTTGCAAGATAGCATGGAGGATGAGAAAGAAAAAGAAAAAAAGAAGGCAAAAAAAGAAGATTCATCAACATATTAGGTGGTGTTATAAATATAAAATTATATTATTAATAAAATTATCTTTAAGATAAAAACATGCCAAATTTAGTGTGACCAATCACAGCGTGCGTTGGTAAAATTGAATAAAAAATGTTTTGTTAAGGTAGAGAGCCAAGGATGAGAGCTAGCAGAAGTCATAATAAGTTAATAACAGTTGTTAATCTCATTGCCAAGAACAATTGATATTTTTAAACTTGTATTTAAACAGCTGATTTTTTTAAATAACTCTAACTTTTACTATCTTTTTTAATAAATATTATTCATTTAAGGAATTTGCTTATTTTTTATTGTTTAACATTTAATATCTATTTATATTCCATCCTGCAAATTCTACAAATATAAGCCATTAATGATTCATAATTTTTAAATTTAATTTTTTTAATAAATCAAAATAATAGGATCACTATTTGATTAGCCATAATATTAATAAAAATTATTCAAAATAAATTATTATTAAATCGAACATGTAAGATTAATTTTGTAGTATAATATACATAATAAAATGATTTTACATTTAGGACTGGATTGTAGGGAGTATAGTTTTAAGTAAATCCAAGCAGAATATCATTTAGATTATCTATATTGAAATGATAAGTATGGTTATCTCATCATTCAGGTGGATAACCTTTTAATGATAAATTTATTTTTAAAATTTTATATTTAATTATAAAGAATTTAAATTTTAAGTTCATATACAGCTCTACATATTTTTGGGTCCCGTTCAAATAGACAATCAAATAAAATGCAGTTTTCAATAAATTAGTTTACTTTGTCATAAAATTAGATTTTCTAATTCTTTTGGATTTTTTTGGCCAATTTATATATATCAGATGATATTTTTAAAAATTCATCAATTTTTTAATAAATGATATTTATACATTTAATTAGTATTAATTTATTTATTATAAGCTATTAGCAATGTATATCTCATCTCAAACTTTATAAAAGATCATGTAAAATTTTGTTGGTTGTGTAAAAGTTATGTTATACATTCCAGTAATGTAACTAATAATTAATATAAATATATTTCCCTCCAATAAAAAATTGCGATGAATTGGCAAACATAGCAAAGATTCAAGTTGAGAGAGGAAGAAAACATCAGGAAGAGAATGTGAAGGTGCAGAGACACTAATTCTTTCTGGATTTATTTGAACATCTAATGATTATTTAAAAACTAAACGTGCACTCATACAAAATTTAAGAAATTAATTGCAGATTCCTTCGGCCAAAAAAAAATTGCAGATTCCTGGGTTACAAAGAATCAACGTTATTTAATTTATAAATATTGAGATTTGAGGTTCCGTTTGATATGAAACATTGAAAATAAGGGATTAGGATTGAAATTACAATTAAAACAAATCATTAAAATAGCATTTGGCATAAATAATTACTTATTATATGGGATTAGACAAACTCACAAAGGTGAGATTGAGGAATATCACTTCTTCCTATGGTATTCTCCAATCCCACGTATATAGGTTTGGCTAATCCTCTATAACAAGTAATTTCTCATATTAAACACTCTTTTAATATATTTTCTCAATTGCAATTCCAATCACAATCTCTTATTTTTAATGTTTCCTACCAAACGCAATACGAGAGTTGTTATTTATACATAGCAGCGAACAATGGAACACATGGATTGCGAAAATGCGGCACATGTGCGGACTTAGTTATTATTCATCAGATGATGGGGTGAATAAGCCAATAGCAAAAACAATTGCTAATTGAAAAGTTAATTTGGTCATATATATATATATATATATATAATAACTCAAATTTTATTTTCAATATTTATTAATTTGTCTCCAAGTAATTAATTCCTATACTAATTATATATGTTAATAAGTTTTCATCAAAGGGAATGCATATGAATGATGGGATATTTTAAGAAAAACAATATCTATTTAATATAAATAACTAATTTAATTAATTTTTTTAATATTTATAAATTAGTTATTTAGTTTTTATATTAATAACAGGAGGTACATATAGGTTATAATTGTAACAACGAAACTACTACACTTATAAAGTAATCAATATCAAAAAGTTAACCATGATAGAAAAGAAACTTTGTAAAAATATTTAGAAATACTATCATGGTTATATAAATATCCTAAATCATATGAGATTAACCATGATAGAAAAAGAGTTAAACCAATCCATAAATATGTCTATCATGGTTAAAAGAACTTTCCTAAATTAACTGCGTGCAAAAAGATATTCATAATGGATAGGGCTTTGGGTATTATAAATCTAGAATATCATTTTCAACCATAAGCCCATAACACGATTTTACTAAATAGTACCTTTCATAACTTTCAACAAAATCAAAAGTCATTTCATGTCAAAGATCACTGTGGATTCACCACTCATATCAAACAAAAGAAATCACATGCAAATACCTAAAGGCCTCCGGCCTTCTACCAGCATACAGTCCAGTAACAGTTCTCAAAAGTACACTGTCAAAATAATCAATCTCAAACATATCAGAGTATGTGGAGTGGGCCCTATCATGGCAATATACATCTATCCAACACAATCAAAAGAGTGGAAGCGCTACAATTTTGCAATAGCAGCTCAAGCTTCCGGAGCCTTCCCTGACTGACCCGAACGGGAACTATCACCTGGAAAAGTGTTAAATCAACGGGGTGAGACAAAAGTCTCAGTAACCAGCAATCCTACTTATCAAGCATACAAGTAAGTACTCGTGACGTGTCAAGTGAGACAAAAGCAAATTCATAGTATTCCAACAAATTTCATATTGTCAAAGCATATTAAAAAGTATAATCAATAATCTTTTCACCTCCCTTATATCCACCCACCTTATATCCTCTGACTAAACCCATGGGCTAAATCCTCATCCATGTGACTGGTAATTAGACAAGCTCACCGATCAAGTGATATGGACCGGCCAAAATCCACAGAGCACCAGACCGGACCATGGGTTTCCCCTCTAGTCTACTAGTAGGGTGTCAATGCCCTATAATGAATAATTGGGCCAAAGGACCAATCAGTGTACACCTGATGGCCCTACCACCTTATATCCTCAAATGTACATAATTCACCCCCTTATATCCTCTTTGTTATAGTACCCATCATCAACATCCGCCACCCCTCATATATCAACACTCAAAATATTGCATTCATAAACAATCATCAACATGTAAAAATCAATTGGGATTTTCCATTTTTCAATTGACTCATAATACCTAAGATCATCATAATAGTAAACATATATCTTTTGCAACAAAAGTCTCACAAGACAATTTCAATAACAACATACTTTCATAGCTCACATCGTAATTCAATAATATTTCATAAATTCCTTATAATTCAAAATCAATCACAAACAACCTACGAGCATGAATAATAAGTGGAAAGTGGTTACCTCTTGTCTAGAACAAGTATTACCACAAGGTTAACCCCGTGCTCATACCAATAGCCCAATAATTTAATCTACACAACCAATACATTTACATATCAATACACAAGCTATTTAATTAATTACTTAAACTAACATATATATATAAGTTAAAGTTTCTAATTCTATGCTAAACCCAAACCTCTCATAACCCATAATTAAGTCTTTTAGCACAAAATTTATATATCCTCACAATCCAAAATTTTCATTTAAACATTTCAAGGTATTTACTTTAATACAGATTTTTCTCAAATTTTTAAATCTGAAATTATCATATTTAAAATTCAAAAATCCTATTTTAACTTTAAATCTCAAAAACCAACCATTAGAAATTCACTATACATCAAATGCATCTAAGTAAATAATTTAATCAACAGTTTCATGGTATAAATATCATATTTTCATAAATAAATATCTGTTTAACTAAAATAATTCATTTAAAAATATTAGGTCAGTCAATAAACAAAACTAAACTGATAGAAATGATCTACTAAAATAGCTCTACAATATTATGCTTACCTATCATCAAAACTCAACACTTGCTTCAAACCCTAAACCCAAAAATTATCTCTAAACAGTATAAAACTACCATCATTAGATAGATTTAGATGAGTGGAAAAACTTTCATGAAGAGAGTTTAATGAAAAGAAGTCATTTGGCTTACCAAAATGATCTGCAAAGTTGAAACCCTACTGGAAAAATGAGAGAAGGCGCCGGAGAAGGTGAAAAAGAAAGACGTCGAATATTTTGGCAGAAATTCCAGTTAAAGACCCCATATTAAAATGGGACAAAATTATAGTTTGGTACCCCGTTTTTTTCCCTTTTTTTTTTTTTAATCCGTTTTATTATTATTATTATTCAGAAATTTCCTTATACATATTTTATAAATCTTATTTTCAATAATTCTCTTTTCTTAAATAAATAGAGAATAAAACTCATTTATCAAGCATTAAACTCCTTCTAAACTTAACTAAACACTAGGAATAATAATAAATAAAAAAAATTGGGATGTTACAATAATTAGTACTTAGCTAATAGCCATATTTAGAGTTCATAAATATCATAAATTTTAAGTCATCAATATTATATCAAATGTAAAATATCATATTATTTATAAATTATAATTAAATGGTATTTAATTTTATTCATCATGCAGTAGAACAATAAACTATATTTAGTTAATTGAAAGTTTGATTGAGAAGATCCATGTTCAATTATACTGGCTCCTTAGAGAAAATAAAATTAAAGACCAGCTACATATCTTTTTTAAATTATTGAAAAATTAATCAGAATAAAAATCATCGTCTTATTATTCAATAATAAAAAATATTAAGATTATGAATGATGCATGTGTGAGTATATTTTCCTGAAATGCATATTCTTTTGCTCAAAGTATTTTCAAAATTTATTTTCTATCTTCTTAGCAAATAACAAAGAGTCATTAATTAGCATGAACATGTTCATGTCATATTTCAATTTGTTATTAACTTCTCTAAATCTCAAAAGAATTATAAAATAAAATATGTGCCTATACATATTAATTTTAAAAAATGTGTACATATATATATTTTTGGAAAATATATGATGTTCTATGCCAAATCTTCTTTTAAAAAATATAATTAAATGAATAGAATATTAAAAATATCATCTCATTATCTGAAATATAATGCAAAATCTAAATGATCTTAGAAAATCTAAATGTATAACAAATCTAGTGCTTAAAGAATCTATTTGAACAACTTCTCCATAGAAGAACATGATGAGATCTGAAGAAAATTTATTAAAACAAGCCAGCAAACCAAACCATACATATTATTATTTTAATATATTCACAAATAACATTCTCATGGTTATATATATATCTAATGAGGCAGAAAGAGAACTGGCTGGTTTTGATCCAAAAGTGAGAAGATGAAGAAAGCTTTGAAGTTAGTGGTTCTTTTTCTCTTTGCTATTCCACTATGCGGCCATGCGGAGGAATTCCCGAAGACATGTTCGAACCTTCCTCCATTGGAATCATCTCACAGCTTTCGATACGAAGTCTCCAAAAACGAGTCTTTAAGAGTCGAAGCTATGGCTCATTATTACAAGCACGCCCATCACCATCATCATCATGAATCGCCATGGCCCGACCTTCTTCCCAGAAAGATGCTGAAACAAGAAGATGCATATGAGGGGGAAGCCATGTACAGAGAGATGAACAAGGACGGTGAATATTCGCCTCCTCAAGGTGTTCTTAGACCAGTGTCTCTGCACGATGTGAGGTTGAACCCAGATTCGCATCATCATACTGCCCAGAACACGAATCTGCAGTATCTGTTGATGTTTGATGTTGATCGTTTGATTTGGAGCTTTAGGAAGACGGCTGGTTTGCCTACTCATGGTGAACCTTATGGAGGCTGGGAAGGTCCTTATATTGAGCTTCGTGGTCACTTTGTTGGTTAGTATATATGTTTTTTTTTTTTTAACCTATAGCTATCTTTGTACTACCGGTCCTTCTCGTTTATAATTTACAAACGAGATCTTGTAATTAGGACTGGAGGTAGTATATTGAAATCACGAGTTGCCTCATCTCTGCTGCTGCTCAATTTTTCCACTACTTTCCAAATGTTTTTTTTCCGATTTCTTTTTTCTATTAGATTCTACATGTTGAAATTTTGATATCTCATGGTTAAAAAATGGTATTGTTTTTAATGTTTTATGATTTTTTTAAAAAGAGTATGCATCCTAAAATTAGTGTTGCTGTTTCTTCTTAATTTAGACCCAAATTCTTTGAGAAATCATAAAAATTGAAACAGCACCATTTTTGACTGATAATATGTCAAAATTTCACTAACTTTATTTAAAATCTAATATTAAAAAGAAACAAGGAAAAACATTAAACAAGAAGGGAAAATTGAGAGGGGCAGCTCATACCTCAAATCCAACACTGCCATGGGACAATTTTGGATTAACATTTGCAAGAGAAACTTTTATCTGAAAGTTGACCAATTTAAGTTAATTACAGTAATGTTATTTATATTTAGATGGAAAAAAGTCAATTAACTTTTGGGACTGATGATTATTTCAGGTCATTATTTGAGTGCAACTGCGCACATGTGGGCAAGCACTCACAATGAAGCAGTGAAGGAGAAGATGGATGCCCTTGTTGGCAATCTCTCTTTATGTCAGAAGAAAATGAACACCGGATATCTCTCTGCATTTCCAACCGAGCTCTTTGATCGTCTTGAAGCTCTGGAATTTGTCTGGGCTCCCTATTACACCGTTCACAAGGTACTTATTATATTATATTCTAATAACTCATCGGATATTTAATATAGGACCTAATTGTTAAGTTAATTTTTGTTCTAAATATAAGATCTATTTCTCATATTTATCATTTTATCATAAATTACTCCTATGGATACTTTCTCAACCATAATTAAGTAAGTGAGGGAGGAATAATATTAAGAAAGATGATTATGATGTTTTAGGAAAAACATGTCAAATTTCTTATAGTTAACTAACTTACCCAACTTTTTTAATCTAATTAAATTAGTTAAATAGGTCATATACCGGAGGAGTATTAAAAAAGGTGTTTGATATTATCCACGTTACGAGGCTCGGACTCATGATCAATAATAACCAAACATGTGTGTGTGGGTATGAATAATACAGGTAATGGCGGGGCTGTTGGATCAATATACGTTTGGGGAGAACGAGGAGGCATTAAGGATGGTGACGTGGATGGCGGATTACTTCTACGACAGGGTGATGAAGTTTGTGGAGAAGAACACAGTGCCCAAGTTCTATGAGATATTGAACGATGAGTTTGGTGGAATGAACGATGTGCTTTATAGGATTTACCACTTCACAGGCAATTCTAAGTATCGTACATTGGCTCACATGTTTGATAAGCCTTGCTTTTTCGGCTTACTTGCCACTAAGGTGCATAGCTATTTAATTAGTTAATTAATTAATTATAGTTTTGATGATTAATATTAAGTTTTGAATCTTATTGTTATTTTGCATTTTCGTAGTCTGGTGACATAACGGGTCTTCATGCGAATACTCATCTGGCCGTCGTTATTGGAGGTCAAATGCGCTATGAGATTGTTGGTGACCCGCTTTACAAGGTAAATAAACACACACTCACGTGGAATTAGTTTTGGTGCTCATCGTGGTAATATCGTTGCGGTAAAATATAAACCATTGAGATATAGTTTTAATGATCTAGATTTAAACTTTTTAACCAGTAATTTTTAAATAAAAAAGTTATTTTTTTAAAAAAAACTTACAGTTAAAATATTATATTTATTTTGAATTATGCACCTATTAACAAAAAATAATTTAAAAAAATATTAAATATTAAAGTTTGATCATTTATATTAAATTTGAATGGTTGAAATTTCATGAGCATCATGATACTCACCATGATGAGCACTAAACTAGTTCCATACTCATATATATCCTAACAGATTAATTAAATATCTCTGCATATCCTAAAACCTAGCCTGCTTTTAGAAAATTAAGGAAAATACTTTTAAAATAATTTCATTAATGGGAAAAAAAAAAGATTTCCTTCGTCTACAATGCCATTTGCCCGTGTTTCTTTCTTTCTTTCTTTCTTTTTTTTCCGGGAGGGGGACATGCTCCTAAATCTTTGTTATGCTACTATTTTTCTTTTGAAATATATCATCCAAAATAATCATCTTTAAAAGTTTCAACCCTATTGAAGTGGAATTATATGATTGTTTGATATTTGTCTAACGTTTGCTATTTTGATTTATATGTTAGGAAATATCCACTTACTTTTTGGACCTTGTTAACACTTCACACGCATATGCGACTGGAGGCTCAAGTCAGTCTGAGCATTGGTATGTTTAATATATTTTCATTTAGTTTTGCAGCCATTACTTCACAAATATGTATAATTAACACAAACAGTATTTCTTTTGTTGAAAAAAAAATCTCTTTCGTGCTATTTTTAAATGGTAACGGTTTAAATTTATCAGGCAAAATCCAGACAGAATGGGTGAAATTCTAAAATCCGACACCGAAGAGTCTTGTTCATCTTACAACATGTTGAAGGTACAATATACACACTTTTTTTTTTTTGCCAACAAATATACTCACATGTACACACACAAATTAAATCAGTTAATTAAGGACTAGAGGAGTATCATTTTCTTTAATTTTGGGAAAATATAGGTTCTGGTCTCTAAGGTTGTGTATATAGTCAACTTCAGTCCAGATTTATTAAACCATTAACATTATGGTCAGCTTTGGTCAAGACTTCCGAAGAGCTGATGAGATGTGTTGATTAAGCGGCAATGGCATGATGATGTGACGGCGATGTGTAGTAAAAGAGAGGAATTTAACCAAACTTAACGATAATTTCTCAGAATGGTTCCTTAATAGGATGAAATGCCATGCTCCCTCCTGTCCCTGTCATATGGACTTTCATGACATTTCATAATATAACATATGGCAACCGTTTTAGCAACATATCTGGCATACAAATTATTTGACCAACAGAAAGTTCCTTATAATGTGGCGAACTAAAATTTGAATCCTTATTAAACGAGATGTTCATATTTAATACTACCTCCGGTCCTTAATATAAGACCCCGTTTGACTTTTTGTTTGGTCCTAATTATAAGACCCCAATCCATTTTGTCTATCATATTTATGCATTTTTTTCCAAGATAGTCCTTCTAATAATGATAGTTCTAACCAATACACTTAATTAGCAAGGATATTTTAGGAATGACAACACTTATTTATTACAAATAACTAACTTAACTTACTTCCTTAATCTCCTCAAATAAGTCAACTGGGTCTTATAATTAGGACCGGAGGTAGTATATGACAATACCTTAAACAATATTGCCTTTAATAGGCAGAGGATACTTGTGCTTAGGAAAAAAAATCTTTTTATTTAAAGTCTACAATTTTGCTCCGAGTCTTAATTAACTGTGCTTTCCTATAGGTTGCTCGGAATCTATATAGATGGACAAAAGATGTATCATATGCAGATTATTACGAGAGAATATTAACAAATGGAGTGTTGGGCATACAAAGAGGGACAGAACCTGGGGTTATGATCTACATGCTCCCACAAGGTCGTGGTGTTTCCAAGGCTGTTTCAAATCATGGTTGGGGCTTTAAGTTTGATTCCTTCTGGTGCTGTTATGGCACTGGAATCGAATCTTTCTCTAAGCTTGGAGACACCATTTATTTTGAGCAGGAAGATACAGCCAATAAAAACCCTACTCTTTATATTGCTCAATATATCTCAACTACTTTCAATTGGAAAGCTGCCAACTTCCTCCTCAATCAAACTCTCTCGACTTATTCTTCTTATGACCCTTTTGTCCGTGTCACCTTCACATTTTCTCCCCACCAGGTATTTTATTTATTTATTTATTTATTCAATTTCCTATATTTTCTTCAGCATTATTCATGACTTTGAATAGTGTCATTTGATTATAGTATATATTAATTGCTAATTTTGTAGATATATATGCTCTAAACATGCAAATTAACCTACTTTTGTAGGGAGAAGAGGTGCCGTCTTCTACATTAAACCTTCGTATACCGACATGGACATACGTAAATGACACAAGTGCTTTACTCAACAACGAGCCTTTGAACCAGCGTGTTAATGGAGGTATGTAGAAATTCATTTACTTTCATTTTAAAGAAAAATTAGAGAAACAGACATTAATAGCCTGAAATTACAAGCGGAATCAAACCTGCCATTTTATAATTTTATAGAGACTATATTCATGCTATTATTCTATAAGGTCAATTCATTTAGTTAGATCCATGATACTATAGAAGAGCTTCCATTCATCAGTGGTTTAATTTTGCTCTTGTTGAAACTGATTGGAGATTAAACGAATATTGGTGCAATGATCTATATTTCTTAATTTGGTTTAATTTTTCTCACCAAGTATTAATTAATATCTAATATCTGATTATCTTTCTGTGAATATGTTCATGTAGGGTCATATTTGACGATAACAAGAAAGTGGAGCGCCAGTGACAAGCTCACCCTCATCTTTCCCATCACCCCAAGATTGGAACCCATAAAAGGTAACTAATATCTACATATTATCTCGGTCCCTAATATAAAAACTAGTTGACTAATTTGAGTAGATTAAGAAAATTAGTTAAGTTAGTTATTTGTAATAAATAAATGTTGTCTTTCTTAAAATATCCCTATTAATCAAGTGTATTAGTTAGAACTACTATTATTATAAGGACTATCCTAAGAAAAAATAGATAATTAAGTGAAAAAGTATATTAGAGTCTTATATTTAGGATCAAAATAAAAGTTAAATGAGCTCTTATATTAAGAATCGGAAATAATGTATATGATGATCAATCAATAAATCTTGACGAATGTAATTAATCAGTTTGAATTCATAATATCTCAAAACTGATACAATAATTCACTTGATTTATTTTTCAGATAACAGGCCAGAATATAAAACTGTAAATGCGATCATATATGGTCCATTCCTTCTTGTGAGCCACACGGTTGGGGACGAATGGGACCTTCAAGTTTCTGATCTGAACATGAAACCAGAAGATTATTTGCATGCAATCCCAGCCAATAATCATAGCCACCTCTTCACTTTCTCACAAGACTCTGCAAACTCAAGCTTCGTCTTGACCAACCTTAACGTCACCGACAGTAAAACGTTGGCCATGGAGAAATTACCTCAGACCGGCACCGTGAGAGCCACTCATGCGACCTTCAATCTGGTCTTACTAGACAGTAATAAAGACACATTATTTGCAGATATTAATGATGTTCTTGACAAGCCGGTCTTGCTCGAACCAGTTCATCTTCCTGGGAGGCGCTTGATTCATCAAGGGCCAGAGAAACCTTTATTGCTCTCCAACTTTTCCACTGGTTCATCAGATGATCAGTCTTCACAGTTCAGAGTGGTTCATGGGTTAGACGGAAGAAACGGCAGCGTTTCTATTGAATCAGTGAGCAACAAAGGTTGTTTCTTGTACAGTGGTGTGGATTATAGCGAAGGTGAAGAAGTGAAGCTCAAGTGCAAATCTGCAGATTCATCGAATGGTACAAGTACAACGTTGTTCAACAAGGCTGTCTCTTTCGTTGCCGCTAAGGGACTCAAAGAGTACCATCCCATTAGCTTTATTGCTAAGGGCTTAAACACGAGTTATCTCATGGAGCCTATTCACTCCTTTGCAGATGATTTTTACACCCCCTACCTCAATATTCATCCTTGATTATTAACTATATATTAGGTTTTTCCAAAATTTTATTAGAGCCTTAGTTAGCTAGTTAATTATAAATAAATAAAACTCTACTTTGATTTCTCTCAAGGTTTCTGCTTTTTTTTGGTGTTTTTTTTTTGGTTGCCAACAATTTGGGTGTTGTTATTGGATAACTCTTAGTTGAAGAGTTTGTTACATAATTAAATAGAAACAATGATTATTTACATTACGCAAGCTACTTCCTTGAATTTGACTAGAGTTGCGTGGTCAGTTTAATTTCTTGCGATCACAATCGCCTATGTTTTAAGTAATCATTTCATTAAGCAGCTTGTTAAATTGTATTCCTCTTATCAGTCAGATAATTAATTTGCAAATATTAATAAATTTAATTAAATTATTTGTCATAAATTTATGTTAGATTATTTAAAGGAGTACTTCATTTGATCCTCCCAAGTCCCGACCCCTTTCACATATTCAATCAAATAGCAAAAACAAAAAAATTTGTAAATTTTTTTAAAAAACATAAATTGAGATCTTATATTTAAGATAAAAGTAAACATTCTAATTAAATTCTATATTTATGGTGGCAGGGATTACTTGAATTCCTATATTTATGATGGAAATGATTACTTAAATTATTGTTTATGGAGTAGATAATGTTTGACGGCTTCTCTTCTCAAAAGTCAATACCAGAGGATGCACATAAAAGACAAAATAAATTTAATTTAAATTATCTATTCATCTTTTATTAAGATTTTTCAAATTTTAAAATTTAAAATTGCACTAGCCATTGATAGTCTCCATATTGGATAAAAATTAATTGAAGATTCTAAGAATTTTTTGATCCTACAAAGTTTGTTTTTATTAAATATAATTACTATATTTTTATCATGAAAAAACTTTTATATTTTATATAGATGTTAATATGTTAATTTATGATCTTTCATTAAAATTTGGGTTAAATCAAAGTTACATGTTTCATTCTCCAGTACATGTTTGATTCTCTAAGTTTTTCCCCCTAGATTGATTCTCTAAGTTTACATAAATTCCAAATTAGTCTATTAAATTTTTTTTGGGGCCTGAAGCAAAAGTAGTCTATTAAATTCATAAAGTGTAATTTTCGTTCTTAATTTTGATACGTTAATTTTATTAGTATAAAATACGAACTCAACAAATCTAAACAGTGATTGTGCAATTAAATGCTAACATGTTAATATTTAATTTAAAATTCGTAAATTGAAAAATATTTAATCACAAGACAATTTGATGAAAAATATGTTATAATTTTAAATATTTGTCAATTAACAAATTTTTAAACTGAAGAGCAATAATGGCAGCATTTCATTGCAAAGTGAACATTTTTAGTTAATGAAATTAACGATGTTAATAGTAAACGATTCCTGGCCAAAAAAAATATTAAACGATTGAACATACACTTCATAAGCGTAATTGAACCGAAATTTGTCATAAATTTAAAAGAGAAAGGTATACTTTAACTTTAAAATATGGAGATGGGAAAAGAAACTTTAAATTTTGGCATTTTATAAAACTATGAGAGAGCCACTAGAAAAGAAATATAAAAAATTCAATTTACTAAAAAATTAGGTAAAATATTCAATTAAGGGGAAATATGAAAGACAATCATGCTTTGATACAAGAACCGTCTACCTCTAGCCAAAGCTAATTGAAGGCTGCCACTTTTTTGTTTTTTTTTCTCTTTTTCAAATCAACGTTTTTTACTTTGAAGTATTTTTTTAATGCTATTCAATATCCTGCAATAATTTTTAGTACACTTGACATCCAGCCCAATATCGAGCAAGCTGCACTTTTAACTATTTTTTCAGTAACACCCATTATTTTTTCAGTACTAATTTTAGGATATAGAGTGTTATTAAGAAAAATAATGGGTGCTACTGAAAAAATAGTTAAGAGTTTTAGGATATTAGGTGTCATTACAAGAAAAATAATGGGTGATACTGAAAATATAGTTAAAAGCATAGCTTACTAAATATTATGTATTGCTAAAAATATTTTTAGGTATCGGGTGCACTAAAAATTATTTTAGAATAATATATGTTATTATATTCTTAACTATTACAAGAAAAATAATAGGTGTTACTGAAAAAATAGTTAAGAGTGCAACTTGCTAGATACTAGGCATAACTAAAAATATTTCTAGGTATCAGGTGCACTAAAAATTATTTTAGGATAATAGATGTTACTTAAAAATACATCAAAGTAGAAAATGTTGATTTGAACAAAAAAAAATGGCAGCCTTCAATTCTGGTCTCAAAACGGCGTAGTTTTTGGGTAGAGGAGGAGGGGATGGATGATAAGGGTTGAGGAGGGTGGCGGGTTCCTTTGATACAACCTCTGATTTTGTATTGGGGATTTATAATTTTATACTACGGTTCTAATTATAAGACTCAATTGATTAATTTGAGGAGATTGAAAAAAGAAGTTAAGTTAATTATTTGTAATAAATATGTATTATTTTTCCTAAAATATTCTTACTAATCAACTATATTGGCTAGGACTACAATTATTAGAAGGACTAAGTTGAGAAAAAATGTATAAATATGAGAGACAAAGTGGATTGAGGTCTTATATTTAGAACCAAAATAAAAATTAAATAAGGTATTAAGAACCAGAGGTAGTATTTTGGAGTTTGGACAGGTCATCACTTCCAACCCCTTGTGATCTTTTCTTAATTCCATCCTTGCCAAACACAGTCAAATGACGTGGAGACAATTGGCAAAGGTCTGCCACGTGGCAGCAAGAGAGCCCCTATAACCTGATCCATTGACAAGAATCTAATCCAAACTGAGCAAAAATCATCATCCATCCGTTTCCAAGCGCCACATTTCCATTGACTCATGAGTATCACAAACCCCGCATCCAAATTCAATTCCATTTCCAAGCTCACGATTATTACTACCATTCTCTGCAATTCACAGAGCGCTTAGGAGCTAGAGTGGTGAGTTTGGAACTGTTCACGACAATGGCCTCCACTCAATGCTTCTTGCACCACCACGCCCTCAGTACCGCTACTTCTTCTCCTACTCGTTCTTCTTCTCCTCAGCGTCTAGTGCTACACAACAAGCCAAACCAGATTGTTTGCAAGGCCCAGAAGCAAGACGATGACGGCAGCCTCGTCTCTCGCCGACTTGCTCTTACTGTGCTCATTGGGGTCGGTGCTGCTGCCTCGAAGGTCTCTCCTGCTGATGCTGCCTATGGGGAAGCTGGTATTGTCCTTTTTTCATTCTTGTGATGATGGAGAAATCTGTAGTGATTAGTGATTGATATGAGAATTTGGTATCACGCATAACCCAAAATTGGAAACGATGATGTTAATCAAGTTCTGGACAGAGAGACAAAGAATGAGTTTGTGATGATAGAGTCTACAATCTTCACTTTTGAACTGAAAAACCCATGTGGGGTGATGGAAATGCGTACTGTTTCATTTATTCGTCAAATGATTACTATACATATTACTCATGTCTTTGGTGAAATATTGCTGGTAATTAAGGAAGTTGGTGTATTGCTTTCTCCGAGAATTTATTTTATATCTGGTGCCATGCCATGACTACTTGAACTGCTTTGCTTTGCATTCTAACTGTTTGTGGTAATTAAAGCTTACGATTTACTCTGGGTCGATTGAGTAAAACTAGGCTGCAGATGTGCAATGAAAAAGGAACTGAGTTAATTGGATCTCGTCTGAATGGTTAAGATCAAGCGAATTCTTTGGGAAAATTGATCAAATTATGATTGCTTTGCCTGCAGCCAATGTGTTTGGAAAGCCAAAGACAGACACTGACTTCATTGCCTACAACGGAAATGGATTCAAACTCTCAATCCCCTCCAAGTGGAACCCCAGCAGGGAGGTTGAATACCCAGGTCAGGTTCTAAGATATGAGGATAACTTCGATGCCAACAGCTACGTCACAGTCACAGTCACTGATACTGATAAGAAATCCATTACTGACTATGGTTCACCTGAGGAGTTCCTCTCTAAGGTAAATTCGTGACAAGCTTCCACTTGTTTATGGATAAAGGGCTTTTTTTTTTTTTTTTTTTGTTATAGAAGCATACCTTTTTTGAATGACAGCAACTTCTGACTTAAACTCAAGAGTTGATTCTGCTTCTTTTTCAGGTGGATTATTTGCTAGGAAAACAAGCCTACTTTGGCAAAACTGATTCCGAGGTAATTAGATGGTTTGCTCTGTAACAGAACTATCTCGTGCCTACAGATTGTACACTTGGTTTAAAATCTATGTACAGACACACTTGAGTGTTTCATACAACTGCACTGCCATTGTAAAACCATCTTGACGAGAATCGTGAGATCATCAAATGGGAAATTTATTTCTTTATCATGTCCTTTGTTATTCAAAGCTGATATGTTAAAATGTGAGTGTTTCAACTGCTGATAGTAAAAGAGGAATGAGGCATGATGATCAGTTTAACAAGAATTCAGTCACAGACAGAGTTGATCACTTTTAAGCTTTGGCCTTATAAGAACAAACCAGACAAACTTGTGTGATTTAACGAGTTCTAAACTTTATTAACTGGCCAGGGTGGGTTCGAAGCAGATGCCGTGGCGACGGCAAATATCTTAGAGAGCTCATCGCCCGTGATTGGTGGGAACCAGTACTACTCTGTGACAGTGCTGACAAGAACTGCTGATGGAGATGAAGGCGGGAAGCACCAATTGATCACAGCAACAGTGAAGGATGGTAAGCTTTACATATGCAAGGCTCAAGCAGGAGACAAGAGGTGGTTTAAGGGGGCAAGGAGATTTGTGGAGAGCGCAGCAAGCTCTTTCAGTGTTGCTTAACAATTTTTAATACGTCAAAGGACAATCTGTATGTAAATCATCAACATGTGCATCTTAATTCCTAATTCATGTTTTGAGTTTCCTGGCCTTCCTTTTTTGTTTTTGTTTTTTGTCCCCCTTCCCCCCAAGGTTTCATTATTTTGAGGATATTTGTTATGATTTTAGCGTGTTTGGG